GAATATTTCCAATGTTTATGATGTTTTATACCTTTTGTATTTCTTTAATTTGTCATTGGAAATTTCTGAGTAGTTTGTCTAACGCTTTTAAATTTCCCAAAATTTTCATCATTCTTTTGAATATCGCCTATCTTTCTCTATACTTTTTGAATTTCTTTCATTTATTTTTGGCAATAATTCTAGGAGATTTCTCAATAGTTTGTCTTCTAAATTCCAACTTCCCGAAAGAACGAGATTTTAGTTTTACATTTTTTTAATATATTTCCAGTTTTCCTCCCATGTTGTACCTTTTGAATTTCTTTTATTCACCCTCAAATTTTCTTTTCGAAGTTCCTAAAATTTCCTTGATTTTTTTTTCAATTTGATGTTCATTTTTTTTATCAAGCTCTGCAGTCCCTCGATTCCCAATTCAGACCGGAGGATCGGACCGCCGTGGTCCACTCGAACCCAGAATGATGTACTCCCTTTGTTTAATATTATAAGATGTTCTAACCATTTCTGGATCGGATGTATATAGACGCATTTTAATGTTTGTTCACTCATTTCAGTCCGCATGTAGTTCATATTAAAATATCTAAAATGTCTCTCTGTTGGAAACAAACATGCATGACTTTCTGTTGTACTCGTATAAAAAAAATCCTGTTGACTTAAGTGCAGAAAATACCAGAGTTAAAAAATTCTAAAACTTTTACGGAAACAAATGTGATTTTTTTTGGTACTCGTATAAAAAAATGCCAAGAAAAAACTCCGTTGACTTCGGTGCAAAAAAATAATTTTTCAAGGACAAAAGGTGAGAACAGTAACTTTCTTTTTTGAGGATCTGCGAGAACAGTAACTTGTACTGTATATAGTGTTGAATTTGTTTTTTTCTTTCACCCAGAATACCTTGAAAGTCATTCCTTGGCGAAACATTTTAGTCTAATACAACAGAAGGTTGTTTGTTTTCAAAGAAAATCCGGAATGTTTTGACATTTTTTTGCAATCACTAAATTATACACACATGGGAGCCAAATGCGCTGACCGAGGGACGAAACCACGGCAATTTGGCCATGGTGCACTATCGGTACGTACACTTGGGTAAACTTTTGATCGAGAGCGACCTGGCGACAAAGCAACGACATGGCCTTGTCCTGTCCATGCGCGACGCGTCAGGCGCGGGCGTCCACAGCTGGCCGGGAGGAAGGTAGGAGTATGGATCTGACCTGGCTCGACAGTGAAAAAGACGTAGGCAGTGCAGTGCAGGCAGCGTCATCAACCGTGCACTGCAGTATGCACTCCCTGCTCCCTAGGTCTACGCCACGTCGTGAAAACCAACCCCGAAATGGGAGTCCAGGGATTTCGGGCTCGTTGCCCATCCCGTTCGTTCGTCGGTTCGTTGCATGATGATTGGCCGCTGACCTGACGAGTTGCTGCTCTCGCTCCGGCGGGGCCTGTCCGTCGACGTTGCCGGCGCCCGGAGCCTAGAAGCAGCGAGCATGTGGCGGTCAGGCGGCGCCGAGGTAGCAGGAGTTCTACGGCGGTCCAAATGGCTGGCTACGCCAACGGCCAACCCCACCACCACCTTCCATCCCGGGCAAGGCTTGACTTGGAGCCGACTCCAATCATGCCCGCCCGTCTTTTCCTTGGCCCCTACGAGTCGGAGTATCCAGCGCGACCGCGTCCAGCCGGCCGTCCACCTCCACCAGGAGCGGGCAGCCGCGCGGCACGGGACGCCACACGGTCGACCCGATCCCACCCAGCGCCGCACGGGGCTCGGGGCGGAATGATCCGGCGGATTCCCGGGATAATCCCCTCCCACTTCCATTCCACGGGGACCCGACCCGACCGCGGAGTAATTAAACGTCCAGCGCAGCCTTCCGTGTCATGGCACGGCCCCCCACGTTCCGTTCCACCCTCGGCATCTTTCTCCGGGACGTCCGCATCCCGCTGGCTGCTGGACTGACCTTTTTGCACGACCCACCTCGTGGATGCCTATATTTCCCTCCACGCCCCCCCTCGCTTCCATTCCGAATTTCTGATCTCCTCGGCTTATCTATCCATGTGTTCCTCGACACTTGGCAGGGAAATGCAAATGCACACGTAATATTTGCCTTTTCTAGAGTATAAGATTTGCTTTACTGTCTACATCTCGTGCGTGCGCACAATCGATTACACTAGCTATTCGCAATAAAGCACAAATATCACATAAGCTTCCGCGTGTTAGCTTGACAAAAATATACGCTCAATTCTGGAGTATATCCATCGTTGCCCTTGCAGGGAACACCGTGGGGGTATTCATGATTTTTTTTCTTTTTTTGCGAAAAAACTTTCAATCTATTAATCTTCAATCATGACAGTACAACGAATTCCAGAAATAAAAATTACATCTAGATTCGTAGACCACCTAGCGACGACTAAAAGCACCGAAGCGAGCCGAAGGCGCGCCGCCGTCATCGCCCCTCCATAGCCGGAGCCGGGCACAACTTGTTGTAGTAGACAGTCGGGAAGTCGTCGTGCTAAAGCCCCATAGGACCAGCACCCCAGAACAGCAACCGTTGCCGATGAAAAATAACGTAGATCAGAAGGATTCAAACCGAAGACACACGAATGTACACGAACAACGACGAGATCCGAGCAAATCCACTAAAGATAGATCTGCCGGAGACACACCTCCACACGCCCACCAACGATGCTAGATGCACCGCCGGAACGGGGGCTAGGCGGGGAGACCTTTATTTCATCTTCAGGGAGCCGCCGCCGTCTCGCCTTCCTAAGTAGAACACAGACCCTAACAAGATTAAGAAAAATAACTAAAACGAAGCCCTCCCGTCGGCCCTTGCCAGGATCCACCGCGCCTCCATGGCCCTAGGGCCACCGGAGACGAGGCGGGCCTGCGCCTGCGCCGACGAGAGGCACGAACCCTAACTTTCTTTCTTGAAGAAGAAACTAGCAAAAAGCAACGTCACAATGCGTGTAAAAAATACAAAGGCTCACTGCGGGGTATTCATGATTTTGTAGCCTAAGTATTTCACACGTTACCCTAGCTCTTTGCTTTGCTTTTAGGAGACATGGGTTGCTCGTCAGGTGCGCCATGTGATATCGGATAGTATCATCGTTTAATCAGACTATCGTCTTTTGTCATGAGCCCTGCTGTGATAACGGCCGTTCTATCCATGCGTGGAAAACGACTCTTCGAAGACAAAAACCTACAAAAATGATTGTAGGAAGTGGCACAATAAGGGCTGCAAATTAAGGAAAGACAATGCCCCGGTAAAAAAAAAGAACATGCGTGTCATGTAAAACCCGTTTTTGATGGTTCTTTTTCTTAGGGCAAGTGAAGATTATCCGACCAAACATCAGCATTGTTGATCGTGCCATGAATTTTGATCTAGGACACACCTTCTTTTGTGCGACCAGAAAACATGAGCACCCAGATTAATCTCGGAAGATAAGGAAGAACATGCTCAGTCGTTAGATCCAACACAAAGCCCTCCAGATATTTAGAGGCTTTGACTACTCTCTCTAGTAAAAGAAAGGAAGCACAATGGGTGCTGCTCTATTTCTGATTAGTGAGGTATACTTCTCCATTTCAGTATTATGGGCATTTCTTTCATTCCAGTCCAACACCAACGGTCAAACTAGGAACTCAACGACCACCTGTTACTACGAACTTGTTTTCATCCTGCAGATAAGCTTTTGAGAAGAGACCACATTGAAATCATGTCTCCTCATCACCTTGCTCTGACTATCCAGAAAAATTCATAGTATTGTTGTTTTACTAACATGATGTCCAAACACCTTTCTGTTTCGTTCGAGTAGCAGCGTTCGGTGTGTCGCGACATTAAATTTTTCCTCTTTTCGCCTAAACCCATGCCTCTAAAAAAACATGCGCACCATGTAAAACCCGTTTTTTATGGTTCTTTTTCTTAGGGCAAGTGAAGATTATCCGACCCAAACACCAGCATTGCTGATCGTGCCATGAGTTTCGGTCTAGGACACACCTTCTTTTGTGCGACCAGAAAAACATGAGCACCCCAATTAATCTCGGAAGATAAGGAACAAGAGGCTCAGCCATCGGATCCAACACACAAAGCCCTCAAAATATTTAGAGGCTTTGACTACTCTATATAGTAAAAGAAAGGAAGCACAATGGGTGTTGCTCTATTTCTTATTAGTGCAGTATTCTTCTCCATTCCGGTACTACATGCATTCTTTCATTCCAGTCCGGCACCGACGGTCAAACCAGGAGCTCAACGACCACCTTGAAACCACGCGCCCCGTCATCACTTTGCTCTGACTATCCAGACAAATTTGTCGTTTTACCGACACGAAGTCCAAACACCTTTCCGTTTTGTTTCCCTCCTAGCGTTCGGTGTGTCGCGGCATTAACCGTTTACTCTTTTCATCTCAACCCCGTGTTTTGAGCATTATTAGCATTATAGTCCGATACTCGTTGCCTTTTTTGTCTAATAGAATAGACACTTATTAGGTCAAATAAATTAAGCAGTTTTGCTAAATTAAGAAGACATTCCTCATGTCAAGTACTCTTTCGGTCTTTCCCACGGGGTGGAGTAACGAGGGTAGTCTCGTGCAAGATTAACCTTAGCCAATCATAACCCCTCTCTCTCACACACACACACAACGACCGCTTGGAATAAGCCGGTAGTTACCTCAAAAATTAATCAGCAATTTTCGCCCAAAACCCCTCGGACTCTTCCAACCGTCACAACAACTCCGGTCTCCCAATTCCCCAAATTCCCAAATCAGAAGGCACCAAAAGAGCGAGCGAGCGAGCGAGCACACGCACAAAACACGCGACAACCACCACCACCGCCGTCCCGTCCCGTCCCCAACCTCCAAAAATTCCAGTTGTACGTCCGCCCTCCGGCCTCCCTCCCTCCCTCCCTCCCTCGCCAGCTCGCTCCGCCCCTCCGCCATTCCCTCCTGCCCGCTCGCCAATTTTAAGCGCTCTCCCCGGCCGCCCGCCAGCCGCGAGCGGCGGCGATCCGCGGCGGGGCGCGATGGAGGCGCCGACGGCGGCGCCGCGGGTGCGGTCGATCCGGGAGACGGTGCTGGAGAGCGTGGCGGCGTACCACCAGCAGCAGCGGATGCGCCGCAGGTTCCGCAAGAGCCTCTCCTACGCGGGGGAGCTCTCCTCCGCGGGCCGGGCCGGCGCCTCGTCCTCCCCGTCCGCCTCCCTCGCCTCGCTCGCCGGGCCCGAGGACGACGACGAGCCCTTCTGGGAGGAGGAGGAGGGCACGGTCGAGCTGGTCCAGCTCGGCGCCAACCGCGCCAAGAACGTCCTCGTCCTCATGAGCGACACCGGCGGCGGCCACCGCGCCTCCGCCGAGGCCATCAAGGACGCCTTCCGCATCGAATTCGGCGACGACTACCGGGTAAATCACCCTATTATTCCTCTGCTCCCGCGCCGCGAATCATTCCCCTCCCCCTCCCCCTCTGTCTGTCCGTGAATAAACAAACAAATTGTTATCGGAATCTCCCCCCAATCTGTCTGTCAATCCAAGTGGCCGCGCCCGCGCTGATGATGGGTTTCGATTTCGATTTCGATTTGGGCATTCGTGCCCACGGCAGGTGTTCGTCAAGGACCTGTGCAAGGACCACGCCGGCTGGCCGCTCAACAACATGGAGAGCTCCTACAAGTTCATGGTGAAGCACGTGCAGCTCTGGAAGGTGGCCTTCCACGGCACATCGCCCCGATGGGTCCACAACTTCTACCTCGCCGCCCTCGCCTCCTTCTACGCCAAGTACGTCGTACGGATCGCTTCCCTTCTCTCGCACTCCCACCCACGGATCCTCCTGCAATAGGATTTCACCAAATTTAGTACTACTAGTTCTTGCAACGTTTTTCTTGCTTCACCTCACCCACATCGTCCGTCGGGATCGTCATAAACAAACAAATAATTAATTAATTCGATGTGATTTGTGGCTTCACACTCACGCCAGACTGTTTTTCCTGTCATTGGCTGGTTCCTTAGCATCGCAAATGGCTGACCTGATCGCAGATTTTATAGTGGATCGGCACTTTTGTCAGCATTTTGATCGCACTAATATATATTATAATCCCAGATCTCACCCGACGATATGGCGCCCATAATTTTATATAAGGACCACGGCTGTCTTGACTGGAGACGCTAAAATATCTGTGCTGGATTCCTTGTCATGTAATGCATGTGAATTTGCTGTTGATTCCTGAATAAAATTGTGCCAAGGTCAGATATCCAGTCATGTGGACTGGTTCAGGCTGCGCGTATAGGTTTGCCAGGTTGTAGGACAGTGACCGGGCAGCATATGGAGAAGTTCAGTTTGTACCATGCGCATCAGATTGCCACTCTGTGCTGGTGTCACCCTCTAGGTGTGGTGATATTCTAGGAGGTCACAAAAATTGAGTGCATTGCATCGCTGCCATCCCTTGAGAGAATTATTTAATAAGTGAGTTAACAGTCTGTCCTTGTATAACATTGCTCCCAAACCATGACCTATAAACCACATTGTTAGTGTGCATATGCAAGCTTTCATTTCTTGGATTACTATTTTTTCATACTCCAAACCATAAACATTGTGTACACATTTGCAGTTTAAAGTCAATTAACTTGTACTCCTTTTTTTTGGCTCTATTTCGATGCCGTCATTGCTAAGAATCATCAATTATTGCTAAACGGTTACCTGTAATGCTTGTGTCATTTAGACTTTGACCTGCAATCTAAGTTCAATGACCCACACGGTAGACTTTGTCTCTACATCAAGTCGACATGTAATTTTTTTTTTCTGAATAATTTCTTGTTTATGGTTGTAGGAAGGTTGAGGCTGGATTGAAGAAGTACAAGCCAGACATAATAATTAGTGTTCACCCCCTCATGCAACACATTCCTCTATGGGTACTCAAATGGCAAGGTCTGCAGAACAGAGTAGTCTTCGCCACTGTCATCACCGACCTCAACACTTGCCACCCTACATGGTAGGCTCAGCTCTCAAAAAGGCGAAACCTGGATACTGTTCTTTTTCATGAAAATTAACTGGTTCTTACACACTTCAATCATAGACTTATAACATCTGGCTATACAAATATACAGGTTCCATGCTGATGTAAATAGATGTTACTGCCCATCAGAGGAAGTAGCCAAGAGGGCAGAACTGGATGACCTAAAAAGTTCTCAGATCCGTGTGTTCGGTCTTCCCATTCGACCATCATTCTGCCGTGCTGTTCTTGTTAAGGTAACCCCTTTTTAAAATTAGGACTGTCGTTACTTGTTTATGTGCCCAAGTGGTTTCAAATTTTGTATGCGAGTTTTCCAAATATGTTGTCTATTCATTAACTGCCAAGCATTGTGTACAGCAATTCTCCAGAATGTAAAGCATTCTGGTCTGTAGCCTTATGATTCTACTATATGTGTTCCGCAAACAAACAAATGTATGCTTGTACTGTGATGTGTCTTCATGCAAATGCTCGCTTTTGAAATAACGCATCTTCTAAACAAACATGATAGTTCGCTTGTAGTTTTTTTTTATCCCTTGTCTATTCATTACTGCCTAGGACATTCTGTGCTGTAGCCCTATGATTCTACCGTATTTTCCAGAAACAAACAAATGTATGGCTGAACAGTGATGTGTCTTGATGCAAATGCTCGCTTTCAACTGACACATTTTTAAACCAATTACTCACCAGGATGATTTGCGGAAGGAACTTGAATTGGATCCTGACCTACCGGCAGTGTTGCTGATGGGAGGTGGAGAGGGCATGGGTCCTGTAAAGAAGACCGCAAAAGCCCTTGGAGATGCATTGTTTGACAAAGAGCTCGGAAAACCAATCGGGCAGCTTGTTGTCATTTGTGGTCGGAACAAAACACTGAGCTCCTCATTGCAGGCTCTTGAATGGAAAATGCCAATAAAGGTATAAACAATATGTTCAACTCTCCGTTTTTTTAAAACTTCAACTTGTTTCTTATTTAGCCCACACAAAGAGAATAATTTGTTAACTGCCTTTCTTTTATTAAACAAAAGATTAGAGGATTCGAGACCCAAATGGAGAAATGGATGGGGGCTTGTGATTGCATTATAACAAAGGTATATATATTACTGACCCTTCTCTATTGTTAGCGTGCTGCTTCCTTTGAAGGTCGTGTGGTACTCATAATTTTGTTTTCCTGTTGTTATTTTGGTTCAATAGGCTGGACCAGGCACCATTGCTGAAGCCTTGATTAGGGGTCTTCCTATCATCCTTAATGACTTCATACCTGGACAGGTTTATGTCCACTTACTTTCCACCTTATAAATGTTGATTTAAGCATTCAAAGTGTATGTATTTGCAACGATGCAGTGAACCGAAAACCCGACAGCTACTGCTCGAAACAATCTTCTGATATGTTGTCCTTGAACCTTAACAAAATACATCTGTTTGGATCAAGATATAGTATAAGTTGGCCATTGATGCAGTGCCATGCTTGTTTACGGTTATTGTCTTGCGAACTTCTTCCCATGTGATCTTTACAGATCTGTAGAATCAATCCTCATGAACTTCATTCTGATGAATAGATACTGGTTTTGTGCAGTAAAAACTATGCATGTTTATGGTTATTCTTTTTTTTTTGACCGGTTGAGGCTAGTACAGTATGATAAACAAAGTGGTCGTGCATTGTTTATCTTTATGGGCAACATACATCCTGCAAGAGTTGTGCGCTTCTGTCTGCTTAGCAGGCAGTCTACATCAAACGATATCATCTTAACATAGTAATGTTTTCTTGCATCCCAGGAAGTCGGCAACGTCCCTTATGTCGTGGACAACGGCGCAGGCGTGTTCTCCAAGAGCCCCAAGGAAACTGCCGAACTTGTGGCCCGCTGGTTCGGTCCAGGCGCGGAGGAACGCAAGAGGATGTCGGAGAACGCGTTGAAATTGGCCCAGCCGGAAGCCGTGTTCGACATTGTGAGGGACATCCACGAGCTCTCCCAGGAGCAAGGGGTGAAGGCGCAGATCTCCAGCTCCCTGACATCGTCCTTCTTCATGCCATCTCCTGAAGCCAGCCATTGCCCAAGCCCCATCCCGCTCGTGTGAAGCCTTGGAAGACGTGTACATAGCTAGAGCACCGCAACACCTCTTTGCGCCTTTCATATCCTTGATGAAAAGAAAAGAAAAGAAAAGGAAAGGAAAACGTGGCACGCGATTTGGCCTGGTTTGTTCCATCTGTTGTCGCGGTCGGGGGATCTCGATGTTTTTCTGTTCATGGCCTCTCGCCGTAGTTCTCACAGGCTTGTTTGACCGACAGGTGCTCTTGTGCGATATTGTGTTGGTGTAAAGTTTGTGAAAAATGATCATTGGTTGAACATCATTCTTTTACGGTTCCCTCCTTGCACATTGGGGGGTCACTGGTGGTTGGCTTGTCAGCTGCACTGCAGTCAGTTTTGTGGATTGGAATTTTTTTGTTCATGTAAATTATGCTAGTTGCCACTGAGCCACTGTAAGAAGTGTACATTATGACAGACATGATGGTGAAAGTGTGAGTGGAAGTATTGATTTGGTTTGTTGAAGATAATGAGTGATGTAGATACATGTTCCCTTGATTGGAAGTTCTCAGTCGTAGAAGGACTGGTAACCACTTTTGTTGTCCTACCATTCAGATTTGTTTAACTGCTTGCCATATACTCCTGTCTTCCCCACCTGAAGGCCATAGCAATGCATAGCACCAGTAATTCTTTCTGTTGCCATTGTGCTGGAAACAAACTGCTGGAGCATGGAGCTATAATAGTACTCATGTTGGATGTTATTGTCGTAAAAGGTTTCAGAAACTACTCCCTCCGTTCTTATATTTAATATAAGTCTTTTTACAGATTCCAATATGGACTACATATGAAGCAAAATGAGTAAATCTACGCTCTAAAGTATGTCTACATACATTCGTATGTATGTAGTCTTTATTGAAATCTTTAAAAAAGACTTATAGTTAGGAACAGGGAGAGTATATGCTTAATAGTAGAAGCACTGTGTAGAAGGTTGTATGTCTTTCTTGTTACTGGGAGCGGGAGATTTTCATATTTTGACCCTTTTGCGGAAGTTTAGTAAAATCTGACCCTTTTTTCTACCGTCATGAATGGCGGTAGCCCTATCATCGGGCCCTTGGCGGTAGGGCCCTACCGCAAACAATTTTTAAGTATCAAATACAGTGCGTGTACTCACCTCCTCGGCGGTAGGGGCAGCCTGTTTGGCGGTAGGGCAATAGTACGCCGATGTGGATAAGTTGCCTACTGCCAGGGTCCTTGGCGGTAGGCTGGTATGCACTACCGTCATCAACCTTGACGGTAAAAAAAAATCAGATCCCGAAATATTTTCGAATCAAGGTCAGATCTCGCTAAACTTTCGCAAAGGGGTCGAAACGGCCACTGGGAGCTCGGCGTTGAATGTGACTGTTAAATATTCAGTGGATTCTGATGTGGGCGCCGCTCTGCCTTTTGGCCGAGCAAAATGATGAAAAAGGGTCTCGACGGCTCGGCCTCTCTTTTCTTCAGGTGTCTGCCGCAGCCTTCCGCTGCTGCACTACTACCTACTAGTACCAGTTGAGCTTCTTTCAGATAGTACTACCTTTTTTCATTCCAAAAAAAGAGCTTAAGATATCTTTCCCTTTCACCCAGTGCGGCGCAGAGCTGCCACATCTGCAATGCAGGGCGATCAGCGATAGCCGGTGAACGCCGAGGAGCGCCGGTGGCCGCACAACTTGCGTGCCAGGTTGACAGGGTGCATGTTCCATCCCAGTGCGTCGACCTGGCATGTAGGCTCGAGAAACCGCCCGATCGACCTCGCCACATGGTGGTAGCCAATACGTATTTCGTTCGACAAAGATGTACGTATTAATCGCACGTCGTGCTCACAGAGGCGCCAATCACATGCCCCCCATGCCCACATGATCGCTCTATCTCTCGCTGTCACCGCCTCCACGTTTCTCATCTGACTAATCTTCTTTTCAATTCCTGCACATCTTTTTTACACGCTACCACTACAAATAATAATGTTACAATCTTGTACTCTCTGTACACCGTCCATTGGACTGGACTGGATTGGACTACATGGTCCGTCCGTCTACACAACTGGAGTTCGTTCTAGTGGTTGCTATGCTATTCACAGAAAGATCGACGGAAAGTGACGAAAGGAGTAGCCAAAAGGGCCACACCAACCAGCCGGTCAACCGGCCTACGTGCGCGGCTGGCAGGTGGGCCCCGGGTGTCAGGAGGAGCGACTGCGGATCCTCTACGGCGTGGCGCCCCAGAGCACCGAGGTGAGCACGGCGGCCTCCTCGGCGGGCGACGCGGCCGCCTCCCGCACCCGCCGCAGGATCTCCAGCTTCGCCGCGCGCTTCTCCCGCGGCCGCAGCCCCTGCCCGGCCTCCACCTGCATCGCGAAACAGGCCACCGCGCTCGCGACACTCTGCTGCTCGTCCTCGTCCGTTGTGTAGGCGTCCTCCGCGACGGTGCGCTGGAGGCAGAGGAGCCGCTTGACGAGGCCCTCGGCGAGGAGCGCGTCGAGCACCTCGCGCCGTCCGTAGTAGGCGACGCGGAGGCAGAGCTCCAGCGCAGCGGGCGCGCGCGCGCTGTTCTGGTCGGCGGGGGCGCAGAGCAGGGCCACGAGCCGCGGGAGCTCCCCGCGCGCGTGCAGCTCGTCCACCAGCGGCGTCCGGATCGCCGCCACCAGCCCGTTGAGCGCGCGCAGGGCCGCCGGCGAGGCGTGGGACGCCGCGGCGGTCGACACCAGCGCGCCCACGGCCCGGCCCATCAGCACCGGCCCCACGAACACGTCCCGGTTGAACCGCACCAGCGCCAGCGCCGCCGCCGCGCACCCGTCGCCCACCCCGCCCGGGTCCCCGAGCCGCGCCTCCACCGCGCCGAACA